TTTGGCTGCGCTTTTGCAACGGAGCATATTGAGGCCTCTAACGAAGGTATCATAACTTGAGTTCCTTTGTGAAATGTTTTCATTTATTCCTTTTTAGTAGCTTATATGTTACTGTTTTGTCTATTCCTTTCATGGCCCAAATAATGCTTAAAAAAAGATTGATAAGGGGTTAACAAAAACTTGAATGACAGTGACAATAAAATGATAAAATTAATGAGTCAGTGGTACGGACTTATTACTTATCATTATTGTCATTATTATCCTTATCATTATTATCATCATTATTAATAAAGCTTTGGAACTGGATAAAAAACAGTTATATTATCTTGGTGATGATAAAAAACATTGATGGAAAAAAAGTCGTCGTAAGGGTATCAGTCATAATTTTGTATTCATTTTCCAAACAATGCACATATATCCCGCAAATATGCACAGCATAAATTACATGAATGAAATAGAAGAAGGTATGAACTGCCACCAAATAATTATTCGTTAAAGCATTCGGCTTCCGAAAACAAAGAATGCAGATTACTGATGCGTATGTATGTATGTGTCTGCGTTTCTTCCGTCTTTCTCTTTCTCTCTCTCACATACAAACACACACACACACATATATGTATGTGTGTGTGTGCATGTATTTACACACACACACACACAAACATACATATACGCGCATGCATGTATGTTTGTTACTGTCCAGTATTAATAGACACAGTGGGCGGGTGGACGAGTGTTGGAGGCCACGGAGCTGCGGACGGGTATATATAATGGCGGCTGTGGAGACTGGTGCATCAGATTTTCTAACACTTCCAGCGATCAGACATGAAGTTCCTGGTGAGTGAAGCAGAATCAGCATAGGCACATTCAGTGAATTTGCCGTTACTTGTGGTATTCTTAATATGTTTAAGGTCAGAAACAACGTGTGTGTGTGTGTGTGTGTGTGTGTGTGTGTGTGTGTGTGTGTGTGTGTGTGTGTGTGTGTGTGTGTGTGTGTGTGTGTGTGTGTGTGTGTGTGTGTGTGTGTGTGTGTGTGTGTGTGTGTGTGTGTGTGTGTGTGTGTGTGTGTGTGTGTGTGTGTGTGTGTGTGTGTGTGTGTGTGTGTGTGTGTGTGTGTGTGTGTGTGTGTGTGTGTGTGTGTGTGTGTGTGTGTGTGTGTGTGTGTGTGTGTGTGTGTGTGTGTGTGTGTGTGTGTGTGTGTGTGTGTGTGTGTGTGTGTGTGTGTGTGTGTGTGTGTGTGTGTGTGTGTGTGTGTGTGTGTGTGTGTGTGTGTGTGTGTGTGTGTGTGTGTGTGTGTGTGTGTGTGTGTGTGTGTGTGTGTGTGTGTGTGTGTGTGTGTGTGTGTGTGTGTGTGTGTGTGTGTGTGTGTGTGTGTGTGTGTGTGTGTGTGTGTGTGTGTGTGTGTGTGTGTGTGTGTGTGTGTGTGTGTGTGTGTGTGTGTGTGTGTGTGTGTGTGTGTGTGTGTGTGTGTGTGTGTGTGTGTGTGTGTGTGTGTGTGTGTGTGTGTGTGTGTGTGTGTGTGTGTGTGTGTGTGTGTGTGTGTGTGTGTGTGTGTGTGTGTGTGTGTGTGTGTGTGTGTGTGTGTGTGTGTGTGTGTGTGTGTGTGTGTGTGTGTGTGTGTGTGTGTGTGTGTGTGTGTGTGTGTGTGTGTGTGTGTGTGTGTGTGTGTGTGTGTGTGTGTGTGTGTGTGTGTGTGTGTGTGTGTGTGTGTGTGTGTGTGTGTGTGTGTGTGTGTGTGTGTGTGTGTGTGTGTGTGTGTGTGTGTGCATGTATTTACACACACAAACATATATATACGCGCATGCATGTATATGTTTGTTACTGTCCAGTATTAATAGACACAGTGGGCGGGTGGACGAGTGTTGGAGGCCACGGAGCGGCGGACGGGTATATATAATGGCGGCTGTGGAGACTGGTGCATCAGATTTTCTAACACTTCCAGCGATCAGACATGAAGTTCCTGGTGAGTGAAGCAGAATCAGCATAGGCACATTCTGTGACTTTGCCGTTACTTGTGGTATTCTTTATATGTTTAGGTCAGAAACATCGAATTATTGTGGATTAACGCAGTGCATGATAATTCCTCGCCAGGTTGTGGTAGCAGCGGTGGCGGCGTGCGCGGGCGCTCGCTCCATCAACGCCGGTTGGGTCCTTCCGCCAGGCAACATCGGCACCTCGGGCATCCTGCGCAAGGATGGCTCCACCGATCTGTTCAGCCATGACTTCGCTCACGACATCGTTGCCATCGGACCGGCTGGCATCGTCCTAAAGAACGGCCCACCCGTTCAGCTCGACGCCGACCTCAACATGGTGGGCCGCAGCAAACGCTCCACCGCTGGATACGTCAATGCGGCTGGCAACATTGGCCGCTCCGGAGTCGTGCGCACGGATGGCACTATTGAGCAGTTCGGCCACGATCTGGCCCACGACATCGCTTTCTTTGGCCCCAGTGGCATCATCCTGAAGAACGGCCCACCCATCCACCTGGACGAAAACCTCAACA